TGAAATATTTCGTTTTCGGAGAACAAGAAAAATAGCTTTATTTTCATTACACTTAATAATTTGTGCAGTTATTCAGTGTCTGGTACGTTAATGTTCAAGAAAAAATATTAATTTTTATTAAAATGTTCTATTATTTTATGTTAACAATTACTCATTTATTTCAGTCTTTTGTATTCAGCATGTCTCTATCGAAATACACCTACATTTCTATAAAATTAAAGCTTTTGTTTTTTTGCAGCCCACATAAATTTAAACCTTGTTTATGTGGCTCATGTTAGCCTTTGAATTTGACATGCTTGCAGTAGAGGGAGGCAGATCCGTCCTGGGGTGGGTCTCCTAGTGGGCGGAGGAATTTGGATCTGCTCATCTATAGGAGCAGCTCTCAGCACTGGCCATGTATCGGAATTCCCCGGGGAACTAGCTTTAAAGGTGCAGGTGGTGAGGCCCCACCACTGAGGTCTTGGCATGCAGTTAGGTGGAGAACTACTGATTAAGGCCCCACCACTGCCCAGTACTGGGGAGGAGTGCTGCACTGTGAGTCCTAAAGCAGGAAAGGGGACAGGGGCCCTCTCCAAGCTCGCCTGGTGAAGCTTCACAATCAGAGGCTTTACCACAGAGTTCATCTTCTTGTCCATAAAGACTTGGCAGAAAATCTTGAAATTAAGTCAGCCGAAGGGCCACTGAGGCTCTGCAACTGCTTAGGGCAATTCTTATATGAGGCCACCCCTGAGTGGGGGCTGGGTGAGGAGAAACCCATCACCACCAGCAGGGACACTCTGGGGCAAGGACTTGCTATAATTCAGGTTTCCGTGGCTTTCCCTCCACAGGGTTTAAGGGTTTGTCCCATTTATACAAGGGAAGCCCACATGCTGAAAACTAGCTGAAAAACTTGGTTTCTATCACATTCTGGATATTCCTTCAGAAAGTTTTCTCCTAAGACAAACAACCCATAGCAGAAGGTTTCTTCATCTTGCGTGATCAGTTAGCAACCTCCTTCCTCCTTTCTACAACAGGCCTCTCCAAACAGAAGCTCTGCCTCTCTGTGGAGAGCACCTGTGTGCATGCATGTGTAGGGCTTACTGTAGAGCAAGTGTCAAAGCTGGGAGAATCCTCCTTACTTTAAGTTCAGCTTTCTTTTTTTAAAAAAATTGATTTTACAGAGAGATGAAGAGAGAGGGGGAGAGAGACATTGGTATGAGAGAGAAGCATTGATCAGTTGCTTCCTGCACACCCCCTGACCCGAGATCGAGCCTACAATCTGGGCATGTGCCCTGACTGGGAATCGACCTGGCAACCTTTCAGTGCTCAGGACGACACTGAACCAACTGAGCCACACCGGCCAAGGCAATTAGCTTCTTGAATCCATTCCTCTGAAGAAACATTTAATTGTGGGTCATTTATATAAAAATCTATGAAAGCAGGAAAAAAAAGAAAATACCTCTTTACTAAACCCCAATGCAATGATTATACTTGTTAAAACTATATTCCTTTCTTAGCTCCTGGTCATGTCCAAACAAAATACCCAATGGTGGTCCACAGAGTGGAGTGTAGTAGTCTAGCTCTACTTCATTTAAAGAGCAGACACCAGGACGACCTCCCCATGAATCCTTTCCTAACTCTGTCACCCCCAAGAATATCCAATGACTTCCTTCCCTGGGCTACTGCTGCACCCAGTTATAGGAGCTGGCACTTTACTTTGCAATCATTTGTTCAGGAATCTGTCTCCTGCAGTGGATGGTAGCAGAGGGCAGAGCAGTGTCTCCTAACATCGGACTTCTGCTCACACTGAACCTGGCACTAAGCCACATGAACGAACAGCACGATACAGGAGCAAGAGAACAGTCTCTAATGCCCACAACAACAAAAAGTATGGGTATGAACTCCAAGTCCAATATTTCCCCAACTAATGAGACTGTACATGGGGGGAAAGATGCGACATTAGTATTCTCTGCAGGGCAAGACCTGGAACTGGCCCTTAAAGAATGAAGCCGGTAGGACGCACTGCCTAAGTTAACTTAGGGGGAAAAAAGCCACAGAGAGTTCAAAATAAATCAATTACTTCAGCAAAAAAAATGAGCAAGATAAAAATAAATGGGCTTTTGCAACGTGAAGACAAGGAGGGATGTGAAGGGCTCTTCACTGGCTGTTTGCACAGATCTGATGGAGCTGCCTGAGAAGCAAAGTGACTGAAACTCAGACAGCGTGAGCTCCTAGTAATAGGTTAATGCCCCTCTTTTCTCATATGGCTTTGCATTTATTTAAGTGATATCTTCTCTCAATTTACCATCCTGCCCTCCAGCCACTGAGTCAGCAGAACCTATGTAATGACTCACTGGATCCCTGGCTCAAAGCCTGAAAATAAGCTTCTCTGGAGACGTCTGGCAGGAGAGGAGGAGGGAAGAGTTGACAATTCTTCCTGGGAATTTATTCATCTAGGTTAGAGAGAAGCAGGGGATGGACTTCTGTTAAGAGAGCTGACCCAACAGCTGCTGCCACTAGACTAGGCTCCCTCCAGAGTCTGATAAAAATGTCAAAGTTTAATAAAAGATCTGCTTTGTTCTAAAAAAGATGGCTGAGAAAAGAAAAACTGAAGTGTAAGCTTCTCAACCCAGGATGGAGACAGTCTCCTGTCAAGATCAGCTGTGCCATCCTCTGAACTATACTTAAGGCACGTCTGTCAAACACAACAGCAGTCTTCGTGAGGAAACAGTCTCTCCACTCTTGTCCCCAGGGGAAATGACAGAAACCAGGAACCAGAAAGGTCCCAAGTCTAGAACGTGAGTGCCAACAGAAATGGCAGTGAGAACATGCAGCTGGCAGCAGCATCAGCAGCACATCGAAGACACATCTTTAGTTATTCTAGATTCTTTCAGTCAACAGTCTTGTTCATGCCTTTCATTTGAGCAGTTCATAGTGCTTAAACACACTACCTCTTAGTCCTTACCACAGCCTTCAGGCAGTAAGAACCATCACTCTGATTTCCCATTTGGGGAAACTAAAACTGAAAGCAACTCAAAACTTGTATATTATTAAATGTGAGATGCCTGCCCTAACATTCGGTCCCTAATTTCCAGACCCTGACCTTCTTAACTTCCTGACTGATTCTAGTAAATACCCCAAAGAGAACCAGAAACAATCCCGTTTTCTACTTGAAGAAAGGCATAATTTTCAAGAAGCACTATATTTCATATCTTACATTAAAGTTAATTACTTTAGTAGGTAAGGTTCTCTTAATTTCTGATTTGGAAGCAGTTCACTGAAGCATATTAAGTACATACTGCTTTAAGGTGCCAATTAGTCTGTTTCGATGTTTGAGTTTTTAACTTGAATTAACATGTTGA